ATGATTATGTTCAATATATCATGAATCAAACTTATTACTTGCAATCCCTTCATGCATGAATGGTATTATGATCAATTACACTATATGATGAATCATGTATACTGCAATGCATGTTATGACTTAAGTTATGTTAATGTTATTTATGCAGTTACGCAATACATACCCCAGTTACGCAATACATACTCAAGATAAAAATTTCAACACCAAAAGCAAAAATCAACATTTTTCAAAAAAATGTACTTTTTCGGGTTGTTACGGCTTAGCTGGAAGCTGTTGGCCTAAATAGAAAGAACAACAGTGGTATGTGGTAAGAGTCATGTTGACATGCAGTAGCAGTTTTCAGCTCAGCAGCTCAGGCCTCTGCGATTGCTGCCGAAGACTTCATCCTGGCCAAAGAAGTGAAGGGGCAGCTGGACTTGCTGATGGAAGAGCTCTAGCGGCCTCCAACCGACGACCCGCGGCGGGTCCGCGCTGGACCCGCCAGGACGATGGCACCGAACCGTGGCGATGCCGAAGAAACGATGCCATCGGTGAGTCCGCGACCAGAGCGAGGGCTTGGGACGTGAGACCGCATCAAGGGCTCAAAAGTCGAGTACCAAGTAGCGAGCACATATAATGCAATATATATATATATACTATTTGGCGAGCAACATCATAGATGAACATGATGAACAGAATGTGATTCTTGCATATTCTTGTCTTATTTTGTAGGTCACTGGGTCTTTGGGGTCCAGAAGCTCCTGCCCGCAGGGATACGGCAGCGGAAGCTACCCCGTGTGGAACCTCAGCAGCCGAGAGTTTTTGAGTATGGGGGTTTCTACTGTTTGATGGGCATGAAACTTAAAATCCGTTCAAACATTTCAGTGGTTTTCAAATGGTGGACATATTTTTGATTGGACCTTGGAGTTGTAATTGTAATTTGATATTTGTAGTCTTTGTTATTTGTGACTTAGGGGCTTAGGGCATGATTGTGCTTGTCGTCCATCTCAGTCAGTCGCTACATTACCACAGCTGTGGTGCAGCACTTTTTGGATGAGGTCCAATGCAGAAGCTGGTGGCGCACTTGCCTGAGTCCAACGGAATCTGACCAGATGCCGGAAGCAGAATCAATGACCAGTGGACCAGAGTTGATGGATACACTATGCATAACAAGTTGATAAAGGCACAAGACCACCCAAGATCGCTCGCCTCGTAGCGTTCTTGTTTGTAGCCTGTCGCTTTGTCATGTCCACGTCCATGGCTTGGGGCTGCAAGCGGCACAAGGTGAAGAGACCCTTGGAACAAAGTGAGACCGAGGAGTCCAATAAGAGGCACGGACTTGGTCATTCAGGGGCGCCCGGGGTCGTCAGGGTGTCAGGAGGTGCGGTTATAAGGTTGCAGTATCGTGCAATACCAATACATTTGCAATACCAATCGTGTATGAAATGAACCAGCAAAACTTGGTTTTATTTGAGCTTTACTGGATACCCTTGTAGTAAGGTCTTGGAGGTGAGGTCGTTTGATCCCAAGTCTTTCGAATGTGCAATGTGCAGTAGCCTTCAATTCCTGAGAAAGTTTCACATCACACCAGATCAGTTTTTCACTCAGAGAACTGCAGAGAAAGCCTTCTTGCAAGATTTTGAAAGACACGGCAGGCAGAATACTGGAACTATAACATCTAAAAGCATGGCCTGGAACTCAGTTCTGCTGCGCCAGGAAGGCGAGCACCCTTCTTCTAGAACGGTGCTGACCACTGTGCTCTCTTCATTATTTGTTGATGGTCGTGGCGCTGACAGTTCAGGTTGACAGGCAATCTAGGGCCTGAACCCGTTCTGAACAACCGTGTCAACCTACATGACCCAATCTGTTATCTGCGCATTCTGCAGTTCGTTTTGACTCATTTCTTTTTGGAAGAGCCACCCAGTGCCATAGGCAACGGCTGCTTCGAAAGCTGCATCCAAGGCACATTTTGGGCACATGATGGCACACGAACTTCTTTGTCGGTTTTCTCTTTTTTTTCTGCACTTCTTCGCTTTGCAATGAAAAGGGCAAGTCCACACCGAGAAAAGAATTCGACCAGGAATCGGACCGGGACCCACCTGAAAGACCAAGCCTTGAAACCGTTTGAGTTGACCCTCAACTCATCGGTCAACTCATCGAAGTAAGCGCTGTCAGCTTTACTACATCGTGTGTATCTACTCGGTAAAAAAGCCATTTTCTGCTAGGCTGCAGCAAAGAGTGCGTAGCTGGAGCAACGGCGCGACGGCTGTGAGGGCTGTGGCTTGAACAGTCAATATAACATGCCTCACGGTGTACACATCACAGTCGCCACAGGAGTAGGGTTGTGGTGGCATCACAGTTGCTTGCGACAAGCGTGGAGGTTGTTTAATGTGGTTCTGTTGATGAGCTGGAATGAACTCAGTCACTGTTATTGCTTTCCTCTACCGGTTCTTTTCACGGGCAGCTCACAACCGTTTGCATCGTGCAGCAAAATGAGGCTGAGAGACAAACTTGTCGCTCTGAAGTGTCTGTGATTTTGCACGAAAATTATAGTTGCTGCATGGTCAGCTGCACGGACCGTAGGTGGCTCACTCAAAAACATCGCAGTCAACCGGGCGCACAAAGAAGATGCCGAATACGATCCTTCAATGCAGCAAACAGTGTCATTGCAGCTTCGCACAAAGATAGTTGCTCTTTCTTTTCTGACCTTTAGAATCCAAGCACTCACAGAAAACCACTTGGAAAGGAGAATTCGTTAGAGCTATGACTGTTCATTTTCTGGTACGTCTGGTAGAACCCCCTGAGACCCTGGATAGCCTGTTGATAGCCTGTGGAGTACACTGTAGAGACGCCATACCTAAGATCATGTGGCACCCGACCGCGCAGTTCTTGTGACGAACAAGTGCTTTGCACACGTTCCAATGCTTCAGAGTTCAGAGCTGCGACGAGCGCAGATGCCCAACCAGCGTCGACACAGGCAGGCAAATCATGGATTTGGTGAACATCTTAATGTCAAATCAATATTTTTTTTTGTATATTCTGAATGTCCTTCACAAGTCTTTGTTCATTCCCTTCACGTTCAAGGCTTCTCCTTTGGGGAACTGCATGCGCAGCGCCGTTCTTGGTTTGCACAGCAGAAGGAAAATCGTCAGCTCTCTCAGCAGGGCCTCCGTCTTCCTTCCAATGTCAGGTGCTATTCTACAGCATCTCCCAGCAGGCAGACTCCAATCAGCACACCTCGGGTCGTGGGTCCGGACCGTGCCACGACAGATTTGTGCTCCGGTCGTGCCACGGCTTTTCCGACGCAGGCGAAGCCTTGTTATGCCACCAGTTCCTCACCCTCGGAGGTGTGCTGTTAAACGGGTGGTTTTTCACGAACGAAACGAGCTCACGAGATGCGACGCAACCTGACCCGAGACGCTCAAAACCGGGCAGGTGAAGCGTCGAGGTTTTGCGATGGGAGTGACTTGGCGGCTCTGAAAGCTTCGACCGAGGATCTGGCTGACAGTCAAAACCGCTGTGAACTGGCCGCACCTGGACGGCCTCGTTTCTACCAGACAGACTCGTGCAAACAGTTTGAATGAGGGAATGGAGCACCCCTGTAGATCCCTCACAGGATCCAGCCACCATTATATATTTCTTACTTTCGTCGCACCAGTCAAAAGAAGGCAAGGCGACATCTTTGGCCTTGCGAGGTGACGAGCCTTGCACTCGGCCTCCAAGAACTGCCTGCTGCCGTGGAGTGCTCAGAATTTCTGCCAGGAAACCACAGAAGGCCAACTCACGACTCACAAGAGTCAAAAGTTTGGCTCGGACCACCTGGAGGCCCTCCGTAATTACTCTTGGCACAATGTTGGCGGCACATGAATCACCACTCACTTGGAGCCAAATTGTTGTTTCCGCGGCATCGGCATCGATTTGGATGACATGCATTGAATTACTTGAATCATGAGGGTCCTTGTTTGCAGTCTGCAGCTGTAAAGGTTCAAAAAAAGTAAGATGACTTTCGTTCAACACGGTTCCTCAGCCACACCCAGCCATCCAAGAAAGCAGCCAACAAGGAAGCTCACCTCGTTTATATGTCCATATAAGATGCCTGAATTGCCCCTCCGGGCTATCTCTGTGCAGCAGCCTCAGAACGTTGACCGTGCCAAAGACTAAAGAAAGAACCAGTCAACTTGGATCAAGGGTGAATGGCCACTGAGGCACCCTACCAGAAACGTTGCACCTCTGGTGGCTTGGTGCCATCATCGGGCTTTGACTTGAGGCCTACACAGAGGGTTGTGTTCCCTTCTAGCAGGAGCCTACCGCGGCTGGGCCTGGCCCGTTCACGTTGGCCCACTTGGGGCATTCAAACACGGTATGAAGAGGGACAAGAGAAGACCCGCCTTCAGAATTTGCCAGCACCTACCAAAGCAGCATACCAAGACCAACGGGACCAGTGGGAGGGGTACCCAATAGCCTATGCACATCCACTTGTTGAAAACCAGCCCCTAGGAAACCAGAAGAAAGCGCTGTGAGACCATCCAAGAAAGCACGTTTAAAGTGGTTGAAAACTGTGGGAAGACAGAGTCCTGGTGAGACAAGGAGTTTGGTGTCCAGCAGGGCTCACGCTGATGATTTTGTTTGGTGAGTTTTAAGGCACAGACAGCCCCCCATGGGCCAAAGTCAGGGCTATGTGCTGGGTGACCCAGAGTGCAGCGCAGCAGGGAAGGACCAGTTCAAGCCGGAAGAAGAATTGGTTGAGGGTCTTCCTATTTAAATACCCAAATCTGAACCCGGACATATTCACAGTTCTTTTTAAGAGGCCCCATGGACCATGGATTCATACCCGCGGCAGAACCAGCGTGCTCGGTTGACTTCGTAACACATGGTGTGATTTCTATGTGTGACTCGCTTTTGCCACCTGCCCCGAGAAAGACCTGAGTCCCAATAAATGTTGATGTGTTCGTAGTAGGATTCTGTTTTGAGGGTGTTGGAAGTGCTGCTGGCACACCTTGTCCAGTCGATGTATATATCATGATTGATCATGATGGATCCTTTGTATGCAATTCCCTGCAGCTGGTGACAGTCTCTCAGAGCTTTGCGATCCATATCTGTTGACACGCGTTGACACATGTTGAAACCAATGTCTCCCGGCCAAGCAAGCCACTACGCACGTGGTTCGGAGATTTTGGACTCTACGTGCGTCGGAAATCTGAAGCGGGCACAGAAATCGGAAGTTGCCACACTCAATACCCATTCATTGAACACATGTGAACACGCATCAGTACATGCACCCTGCTAGAGTCGATCCAAGATCAGTGAGACCAAAAGCGGCGAGGAAGCTCCAGGATAGACCAGAACTGAGCGCACGTGGACATTCGCACGGCCCTTTGAGGTTTAATGGGGGAGCCTGGATTCCATCCGGTGACGTCCGACTCTCAGGGCGACAGCGATGACGTTTGGCCAAGGTAGACAGCTGGCCTGGGCTATGCTGTCGACAGCTATGTTTTACAGATTTGGGTCTCAGATTCGAGTCTCATGACGGGTCTCATCACTTCCATACATTTACTTCCAAGTCTCATGACGTGCTCCTTGCAGACCTTGCTCTTTTCTTTGCTGCGAAAAAGAGTGTGACTGTACTCATCTAGTAGATGGTTGTTTCCCCCCTTGATCACCGTTACGCGCAACCATCACTTTTTTCACAATATGGGTGTGTATTAAACCTGGAGACCTCCCAATTCGACCCCCTCAGAATCGGGAAATCGACCAGTCTACCTCTTGGGAGAGACATCCCGATGAAAACACACCACCCATGTGCCGAAAAGAGCTGCAGCGGTGTTGGTCACTCCTTCACCGCCAGGTGCCTATGCCATGCCCTGGCGTGGCACTTCGGCACCTTGGTTGGGAGGAGCACGAGTGACTCTACACGGTTCCGAGACCCACATGGAACCTGGAAACCACTGGGTTGTAGAGGGAAATGGTCTTCCAAAGGTCCATGTTCATGTTCCATGTTAATCTTCTTGGGTGTATGTTTATGTTATGATAGGGGTACAACAAAAAAAAACGTGCATAAATGGTGTCACATTGTTTGGTAAAGGCCCTCGCTAACCATCCACTGTCATTCCCAAAAATAGGCTGGGTGTAACATCAATTTCTGGAGAATTTCAGAGCCTTCAATGCTTTTTGTCAGACCGAAGCGGGCCGAGGCCTGACCAAACGAAGCAGGTTGATCACTTGCAAGCACATCAGGTGGAGATTGTCATATTTGCTTTGGAGATCATAGCGTAGCTGGCTAAAGTCACACGCGCGTGTTTGCGTACGCACAGAGGGCATGTGTATCAAAAATAGATTAATTACGGTAAAAAAATAAATTACGTAATCAAGAACAAATTAATTAACTAATCAAAAAAAAGATCCTTTGCCGTCTCTTGTATGCTTGCTCCTGGTCCACATGGTCGTCCTGGTCCCCTTGGTATCCTTGGTCCCCTGGTCCCCTTGGTCCCCTGGTCCCCTTGGTCCCTGGTCCCCTGGTCGAAGGGAAGGGAAGGAAGGAAAGAAGGGATCAAGGTAGGAAGTGAGGAAGGCAGGAAGGATGGAAGCAAAGCAGCCGAAGAAACAACGTAACAAAGGAAGGACCACAAGGAAAATGAAGAATAGAATTAAACAACAATAAACAAAAGAACCATCAACCATGTTAATGGAGGTGCGTTTTGTGTCGGGAGTGTTTTTTTGTATTTTTTTGATTCTGATTTTGCTGTGCTTTTGCTTTTGTTTGTTTTCTGCTTCTGCGTTTTTTTGCTTTTGTTGCTTTTCTGCTTTTGCTGCTTTTCTGCTTCTGCTGCTTTTTTGCTTTTGTTGCTTTTCTACTTTTTGTGTTTTTGTCTTTCTGCTCTTTGCTTTTGTTGCTTTTCTGCTTTGGCAGCTGTTCTCCTTTCTCTTTTTGCTTTTTCCATTTGTTTGCTTTGCAGAGAAGAAACCAAACAAGAAAGCAAGCAAGCAAGCAAGCACGAGCTGCTCACCTTTGGATCTGGTGTGCTGCTAAGGGGGGGGCGCTGCGCCCCCCCCAACCCCCCCCGTGCCACGAAATCTGCACTTCATCTCCGACACCCGCGCCTGCCACAGAATCCCCGGTGCAAAAATTTCTAACCAACCAAATACGCCTCCTGTGCGATTTCTCTTTCTCTTTGCTGTTTCTCTGCTAACTGCACCAAACTATTGTGATAGGTAGGAATTTCTCTCACACCTACACTATTCCAATGTATTTTGCCAGCTACGACAGCTCCCGAATTAGTCTAATCAACTAGCAACTAATATGAAACCTGCACTATTCTGATGTATTGGACCAGCTACGACACCTGTGTCTCTGCTAAGGACACAAAATTTCTGTAATTAGCTAGGTACTAACAAGAAACCCGCTCTAGCCCAGAGAGCTCGTGGCAGAATAGTTTTTTTTTGATTAAGTAATTGATTTTTAATTGATCCCCTCGAATAACATTGTTTTGATGCGGTAAATGACTTCTTTGATACTTCACCCCGCACAGAGTGTTATGGCATGCAGGATTCATGCACTCAGTGTTCGTCACAGCTTTTGTCAGTGAAAGCTAAGAATGCAAAGAAAAGCAAATGTTTGTCATTTCTCCGAAGAGTACAGTCCGCGCAAAGTCTTGCAATACCAGCAGGCCCTGGCAGTCCCTGATGTTTATCCCGTTGAGCCGTCGTGTTTTTTGTTGGGTTGAGGTGCTGAAGACTAGACCCCTTTTGAGATGAATTTAACACTTGTTTGGTTCAGGCCAGGCTCCCATATACACCTGTGGTGAAGCCAACCAAATTTTTGTGTCATGTATGTTCATATTCAATTTGTTCTACAAAATTTCAACAAGGACAAGAGCAGATGAGAAGATTTGACACTGACCTGATACACCATATCACGTCAACATGATGCTTTATATATGTCATTGCTCTGTATGCAAATGCAAAGTAATGAAGTCTCGGGTCATTTGGTTGTCTAATAAATGCCAATGGCTGATTTACAAAAATATGAATGCTCACAGGGAGTCGCAGTGATTCATGCTCTGAACAGTCAGGAAGTACTGTATCGGATGGTCTGGAAGGGTGCCATTATTGATAGCTTCCGTAGGATTTTGAAGGAACACTTTTGTGAAAGAGTGGCGTTCCGGGCATTATCTTCTTCTTCTCCTCCTTCTTCTTCTTCTTCTTTTTCTTCCTTTCCTTTTTCCCTTTGCTTACCATCCAGCCAGGTTTCAAACAAATCAAACAAACACTTCTCGAAGAATGAGGAGCAGGTCTTCGTTGGTCAACATTTTTAACTATGATCCCTTGCGAATAAACCCTATAGAATCGGAGAGCTTAAGCTCAGAATGACCCTCAGATTTTATAGACAATTTTCTTATAGAAATAAATGTCAAACTACCTGACACACGCATTTTAAACATGGGGTCCAAAAAAAGTCTATCTGTTCTCGCAAAATGGGTGCCGACATTTCATTCTATAGAGAGGGCCGGCATGAGATGTCACCAGATTTTATAGAGGTCCTAACGCTTGATTGTATAGAAAGCATTTGGAGTAGTAGAAGGTTGAAAATTGATTTCAGAGTGGATGATGTAGTGTGAGGTCAGGTAGGTTGATATGTCATGTTATAGTATTGAAAGCGTTTGGAGTAGTAGATGGTTGAGAATGGATATTAGAGTGGATGGTGTGTTGTGAGGTCAGGTAGGTTTATGTTTCATTCTATAGAAATTAGTTGCATTTGTTGAGGCTTGATATGTGATTTTATTATAGTACATTTCAACCCTGCACTGTCCAAACATGTCTCTATAAAATAAAAGCCAACCTCTTGGGCCACTTGTGTCCTGTGTTTTTTCTAAAGCCAATTTCAACCTTCATATTTCCCCACATTCTCTATAGAATCAATACCAACCTTGGCTTTGCATCATTGATTTTCCATTTGTTTGCTATCATTTTTTCATGATGATGAACACCAATACCCTGAGGCATCTCATTCTATAGAGAACATGTTGCCAGCACTGCGGGAGGTTGATATGCCCCTCTGAGCCTGGTTTTTTCGTTTTATCACAATAATATCACGTCCCGAGGTACCCCGGTAATTCCACAGGGAATCAAACATGTCTATTTCGCACACAGCGAGTAGACATATATAGCGAGCCCCCGTATATATATATATATATTTCTTTTTTGCCCCCAAGTAATTTGTGTAAAGATTATGCTGCTGTAATTGATGATCTTAGTCGCCTTGAGAATCTAGAATGCTAAGCAAAGTCAAAAGGAACCGGTGGTGACTTGGCCATTTGGAAATGCTATGGCACAGCTACTACAGGGACAGCCTGATCAAACAAACAGCCAACTGCAGCTTCCTTCCAAAAATCACAAACAATGGTGGAACAGCAAAACGTCAAGATCAAACTAGTGGGCATGTTCGCAAGCCTTCGGATTCGGAATCTCTCTCGCCACGAATTCTGAGGGGGCAAAGTTTGGTTTAGAGTTCTGAGTTGACGGTTCTGAAGCAACATGCCGCAGGTGGGTCGCTCCGTCTCTGTGCAGCCAGCCTATGCATATGCCGCACCAAACCCACAGGGAAATCAACCATACATCATTATGCCGGGAAGCGGCCCGCGAGACTTAGCTGAAGATGTTTCTGAGTGTTTGGATTCTCGTGTACAAAAGCTTCTGGCACAAGACTTTCCATGCTTGTCATTTTGAAAAATCCATCTATAAGCTGAAACTATGCTGATTCACAAAAATATCCTTCCGGGAGATGTTTGACAACGCTCGAGGTTTGTGGTGGTTCGAATTAGTCAACACTGTTTCCAAAAGCAATCTCTTCTTCGTTCGTGAAAAAGAAACTTCTCCTGCCAGGACTGGCGGTGAGCCCTCGCTCAGTGAGCCCGGCAGGGTCAGTGACTCAGAGCGAGTGGTTCAGTCAAGAACACGTACAGAACAAGGATTTCCCAGGATGTTCAATAGCTAATAGTTTTGAAAATCCGTTTGCTTTCACATGATAGAAGTGAGTATGTGGTGACTGTCCAGGAGTCCCAATCGAATACCAAGTCCACGGAGAACAGTTGGAGTCAGCATGCTTGGTGCAAAGGAGACTATGCAGGTGGGTTAGTCACTGTCTCTGAGACAACCTTGGGACCAGAATGTGGACGCTCACCAGGACAAGGGTTGACAGTCGGGTCATCTACGTCATCCGATGTCATGTTGAGCTGGTGTACCGTAGCTGGTGGTTTGCTTGCACGAGACATTCTCGAGGCTGCGTCAAGCCACTGCCACACAGTTGCAAGAGAAGCAGAAGTTTCACGCGCATGGAAAGGTTCAGACAAACGATCATGACTTCAAGTTTGCCAGTGAAATATGTGACCATATTATAGCTGTATTGTGCTTGACTCAGGTACTCTTTCGGAGGACGTGCGGAAGTTCTTAAATGACTTGGGCTTTTCTTACTACACAGAGGCAGAATTTGTGATCTGTGGAAGTCAAAAGCACTTCATTCATAAGTCTCGGACTGCTGAAAGCTTGAACTGCCAGAAAAAAATGTGTGCTTTCAGTATGACGCTCAGGCATTTCGCATGAATGGCTTCGAAGATATGGAGACTGTCCTTTCCATGTCCCAGGACTGGAGTGGACCTTGTAGCCCCTTTTTGAACGGAAAGTGCCAGACTGGAAATGTTGGCTTGACCTGAATGGAATAGGAAGATATGCGTGGAATGGGTATCCTGCACTTACCTCAGCTTCGATGCAAAATGAGTCTTTCTCGCTTGGCTGGGGAATCTGTTTTGCATTCCATCGAACATGCGCACATGGTGGACGTGGCCGATCTGGCCGATGAGGCCTGGGCATGTCTTGAAGCTGGACACGAAGTTGGACCAGCTCCGTGAATGAACTTCAGATTTCAGTCTTTGGTGGTGCTTACGCCACATTTCAGCAACTGTTGGGGCTTCTTTCGCGCCTGCCAAGGCTCTGCGAGCAGAGAGGTTTGACCAGACGAGGGGGCCCCAGAGGCATTCTTAAACCAGATGGGCGCAGTTCGTCATTGCCCCAAAGGATTCATTCAGTGAGAATCCATTGGTCAACTTCCATACAGCCACGGAGGGAAATCGTATCGATTCTTGAGAATCTTCAGAATTACATTGGGATTGTAGACGTGGCGGGGGCGCATTGTATGACTCATGGCTTTGACCCACCCATATGATCAACATGTCATGTGTCACGATGTCCTTTGCGACCGGTCTCGTTTTGGTGCTGTTTTTAGGAAAACACCGGTCGCTGCAGCTTACAGCTGCCCAGCCTTGGTTGCTCAGCCCTCAGCCGCTGTTTGAAACAGAAGTTGTTCTCTACTCGTCTCGTCTCTTAAAGAGGCATGTTCAGATTTTGGAAGCTCATGATTGTGATTCGCCACTCGTGAAATTCGATGTCCTAGTAGCCACTGCGTGTTTTTTTCGTCACACGCCGTCCACAAACAGGACCGAGGATCGTTGCACGCCGAGGCCTTTGCAACATCGCGTGGCCGCATCGCCCACGGGTGCAATCTCACCGGGGGCAGCTGCCTGCCTGGCAGGACCGACCTATGGGTTCGGGAGACGGGGTCACGGCGGGAGACGTGCGTGTAGAGGAAAGTGGTCCAAGAGGCCAGGTCACCCGCTGCCGGACCAGATAGTTCTTTCATGTTCTTTCTTTCTTTTTTTCTTGTGGCCTTGAAGTCTTCTACGTAGCCGGTCTGCTAGTGAATTCACATTGAATTCATGAACTCCGTCACCTGCTTCCGAGTCCCTACCTGTTCGTTCGAAGATGGTTCCAAAAGACAGAGGGTAAACCACACAAAAATACGCGTAATTATTAGATGAAAGGGCCGTTGCTTCAGATGTTTCGTGTTGTAAAAAGAGACAGGAAAACGAGAATCGACGGCAGACAGAGAAGAGAGTTTATGGTTTCGCAGCCGGACACGGACATCTGTTGGAGGCATGGCGCGAACACTGTCAGGCCTGATGCAGTGTTTATTTGTTGTCGATCTATCCCTGGATCATCCAACTATGCAAATTGTTTGCCCTTTGGATTCTTTTGGCTGGTCACATGAAGGTAGATAAAAGTTTAAAGGTCCTGAAAGGTGCTTTTGTCCAGCAAATGCTGGTGAATACATTGTCCATATCTTTACAGATGTCGTGCTGCTAGGCCCGGGGACTGCTTCAACTCAGCCCTCTCAACCTCCAATGCTCGAGGGTGGTGTCTTCCGAAAACAGCCACCCGGCCATCCATGCGCTGTGGGAGCCATAGGTGCCCGACAGTTTATTTGCACATCTTGCCAGAGTGCAACCTTTGTCGTGTGCCTCCTAAGGGGCAGCCTCCATATGAACATATGTGAACAGCTTCCAAACCCTCCATGCACAGAGTTGTACTATTTCTCTCATGATCAGTATTTGTAAACTCACGCTTTCAACGAAGGCCAAGAATGCATCTCCGGAACGGTTCGCACTTTCGCACTTTTTGCAAGAGCTAGTTTTGCGAAAGCTCTTGCCAAAGTCGAATTTTCAGGACATGTGACATGTTGCTTGTTATCGTCACATAACTCGCATTGTGGACACGATGTGAATTAGATGTTCACCCTATGGCCTGGTTGGGCCTATTGGAGACGGACCAAGGCTGGCGTTGAGCCCAGTTGCTTCACGATGCTTAGCTGCGAAGTTCCAGAGCGGCCTGCGTCGCTGTCCCAAGCGAACCTGGATCTGAGGCACTCCAAGCCCAGTCGACAAGGACATCCACGAGATCAGTGGCTTCGCGGAATTTGCATATAAAGAGAGCCTTCCCAGCCTTGCATGAGTAAAGGTGGCATGTTCATCATGTCTTTTAAGACAAATCCTTCTTGTTAGCAGGTGCAGGTTGGACAGATGGACGAGAATGGGGCTGCTTGGTGATTTAACAACAAGCTTCATGGTTAAACTCGAGTAGCTGGCACTTTTCATACTATCTTGACATGTGAATTTGAAACACGTGTTTCAACATGTGATGTGATGGAAAGTCTCACCTCTTCCGCCCACCGGAACTCAGCTGTGCCCACCGTCGATGAAGAGTCGGAGCATGATTCGCCCCAGTGCCTTGGCCGCTGAATGGCAACCTCCAAAAGTATGGTGACCTCATGGCGACCTTTCATGGCAAGTCTTCCCCCAGTGCCTTGGCCGCTGCGTCTTCCTTTCAAGAACAACCTCAGGCACGGCGACGGTGGCGAATCTGGTACTCATGAACAGGAGGGTTCGTCCTCCGAGCCTCCGGCAACAAGTGCCAGTCCATCGACGTCAACCACTTGCACATTCACTCCACAGTGCCCCGACAGAAATGCCATGCTGCATAACTGCTGCAATGCTTTGAAAAGGATTGCGACTGACCTTGGAGAGATTGGTATTCGTTGTTGGAACATCCATTTCCACTGGCACCTAGCAGGGTGCTACTACGTAGTTTATGGTCAAATCCATGTCATGATGCCATGTCACGAGATCCACTTCCGACATGCCGTTTGACTTATCGAAGCTTGTTGGCTTCCTGTCATTTGTGATACTGACAGGTGGTTTTTAGTTTGATCTGACCAGTTGACCCAAAATGTCTAAGCGATGCAGACATGGCACTCAACCTGGTGCTCGCTTCCGAGTCCGATGCGTGCAAACCTTTCCTTCAGCAGCGGCATCAGTGCTGGAATGTTTGCGCCCTGTCTTTAAAGGATCTTGTAATATTTGTTTGTTTTTGGAAGCAAGAGAAGACTTGCATAAGAAGGCTTTCACATTGTTTGACCCCTTATTGTCGGGGACTCGACCACATTCATTGACTGGACCATGGTGTACCTGGGTAGCGAATCGACCACGGATTTTTTTGAGATTGAATGCACTTGCCTCGGTGGTGATTGTCCGCTCTAAGCATGTCGGTGGTGCCGTGGTGCGGGGCTTCCTGTGATGCCCTGTGAACCCAACATTGGTTCCGAGTATGATTGAATATGTTTCAAATGGTCCAGATTGCGGCGAAGAGATGAGTTTGGAAATTGCAGACTAAGTCAACGTCGACTGGTTTTGTGAAATCATCCTACGAGTGGCAAAGTGATTGAAGATCATCGTCGTAAATTATCAAGACAGAACCTTTCAATGAATAAGCGAAGGCACTACGGCAAAAAGGACAGGCTCAGGGGAATAAACTGACAGGCAAAAGAAGATTTACTTGATTTACTTCAAAAGTCAACAAATCAGCCTACAGCAGTTGGAAGTGCCTCGCTGAAACGATGGGGGGGGAGTTGAGTTGAGCAAAACCTTCAGCACGGATGGAGAGCAAGTTCAACCCTCAGACATCACACAGTTTGTTGGTTGAGGGAAGCTCATTCCTCTCTTGGGGGAGGGAAGCTCTGAGTCGCAGCACGCTGGTGCTGAATTCGTTTAAGTCCGGCAATTGTAGCCAGTTGCTATGGCAACAGACAAGATGCAGAATCTGTAGATGCAGAATCTGTGCTGTCGAATCACACCTGATCTCACGTCCTGCTGCATGTCGAGTCCTGCCTACTCCCGGAACTCTAGATTTGGACTCGTTTGTCATGTTTTGTTCTCATCTCACTTCATACCTTCTCCTCATCTCCTTTTGCTTTATCTCAAGTTTCCACTGAACTTCTCTCACCCTTTCCCTCTTGTGACATCACTTGTTCTCTCCTTTTCCGCACCCTTCCATTGCAGCCTTTTCTTACTTTCAATTCATAATTCGTAGTTGTTGAACATGCTGAAAGCATTTCCAAAAGTCGTAAGTTTGGAGAAATCATACATTCCTTTCGGATGCTGCCTTTAGTGCGTTCCGTTTCGACAGGTTGCCTCCACCGATATGGGTTCTCCTTTTTCGATTGTTGCATTCGCGTGTATCAGACTGGCACACGCTTTGGGCATCAAGTATAGACATTGTTTTGGGCATCAAGTATAGACATTGCGCAAGTAGAAAGCTGACTTGCTGACTTGTTCATTTTGCTTTTTCATTGGGGGACAGGTCAATAAGGCTGAAAGCAACTTGAGGACTTGGTTTCGAGAAGAGTCCTGGGTCAGGGTCCTGTTTTTGGTGTGACCAACGTTGGGTTACCTTTGCTCTTCCTGCTATCACTAACATCTGTTGACCGTCATTGTCACCTTCAGTCGCCCAACAGAACCGGGTGCGTCGGCCCTTCGAGTCGATTCATTGATGATGCGTCGATGTCGGTATCCTCAGAGGTCATTTGACCCCAAAAGCGAGGTTAGATCCCCTCACTTCGTTGGGGTCAAGAAGAAACTGGCCACTGGAGAAACATGAAACAACATGGCCACTGCTCAAATGATTTGTTTGTTTTATCATTTCATTTTGTGTTCCTGCCTGGAACCAAGTGGCCACTGGTTTACTTGGCTTCCATGTTATAGACATCATGCGACGCGTTCATCACTCGCCACTCCCCGTTTATTGTTATTCATTTGTTTCTATTCGTTTCGCCCGAAGACTCCTTGGAGGCCATGCCTCCACGTCGTGATGCGTTCGGCAGTGGCTGCACGAACTTCTCGGTGCCTTGGAAGGCATACTGTTGAGCATTTCTCAAGTTCGAAAAGGCTGTTCGGATGTTCAAGATCTAAGTCATGAGTCATAAGGCATTGACATCGTTGTAATAATTTGTGCCTATGGATCCCCTAATGAACCAGTTGGGGGATCGGCAGAAGTGCGTGAAGTGGTCGAAATACACGGGGGGCAACGCTGGAATTGAAGGTCTTGTGCCAATCAAGACTCGCTTTCAAAGCTTTTCTCCGGGTATCAGGTGAAGAGCCGCTTACAGCAAAGACTGCCATGGGTATCCATGCAAGAGAGACCTTCTTAAAGTCCGCAAGTCCCTCAAGTCAGTTGATGGTTGTGAAGGGGTGCATTCTGATTATATAGGCGGTGTCCAAGGTTTCCCATGCGCTTCTGCATCATGTTGCGGTTTCTCCGATCTCCGCTGTTCACCACTGCAACAGTTGGTTGCTGAATCTGGTCACTTGAGAAGTGCACCCGGGCCTTGCTGGAGACCAACTCGCATGTCAGGTTCGACTTCCCCAGGTGACCCGAGCAAAAAGGGATCCAACAGCTTTCTACCTGAGCCCTGCAGTGGATCCAACGTACGGAGACGGACTTGCGGACGACGGAGGATGTATGATGTGGGGATGGATGATGTATTGCGATCCAAGCACTCCATGTTTTGGCATATTTTGACCCTTTTGCTGTATCAATGGGTTTGCGGTGTAAAGATGCAGGATTTAATGTTCGATCCTAATTACTAAGCGGGCCCCCCCTAGCAAACAATCCAGGGGGTCTGAAGAGTATCACCGCCACAAACAGAAGTCGTAGTCGTAGTAGTCGTAGTAGTCGAAGTAGTCATAGTAGTCCTAGTCGTAGTAGTAGTAGTAGTAGTCGTGGTAGCAGCAGCAGCAGCAGCAGCAGTAGTAGGAGTAGTAGTAGTAGTACTCGTAGTAGTAGTAGTAGTAGTAGTAGTAGTAGTAGTAGTAGCAGCAAGTAGCAAGTAGCAAGTAGCAAGTAGCAAGTAGCAAGTAGCAGGTAGCTAGCTAGCTAGCTAGCTAGCTAGCTAGGTAGGTAGGTAGGTAGGTAGGTAGGTAGGTAGGTAGTAGTCGTAGTCGTAGTCGTAGCGGTAGCGGTAGTGGTAGGGGTAGCGGTAGTCGTAGTCGTCGTGTAGTAGTAGTAGTAGTAGTAGTAGTAGTAGTAGTAGTAGTAGTAGTAGTAGT